TCGCAGTGATATATATGTACGTATGTAAATACTTAACCTTGAGTATAAGTCCTGTTTTTTGGACAAAGCACAGGTAGACTTCGATATGGCTATAAATTAGCTTCTGCAGGAAATGGGCTCGATCCAAAAGGAGATGCTAGTGGGCCTGAGGCGTGCCACTGGTGTGCCAAGTGTGAAAATGTAGAATGTATGGGTAGGTGTGTACCAGAGATACTGTAACGTAAGCATGAGTAAGCTGAGGGACCTGAACGTTGCTCCATAATAAGAGACAAGCCCTTGGGTACCCAGGGATGTGAATTTATGAATGATACGAAGGCAAGTGAGGCCTTAATGAGAATGTAATCGTAATGGAAAAGATAAAATACCTGATACTGAATGCCGGAGAACGGGTATCCAGTTGTTGATAACGTAGAGGAACTGCGTAAAACGGCGTAAGTCTAAGTAATATTATGTAGAAACGATAAACAGGAAATGATACGTTAATACGATAGTAGCTCGGTTGAGCAGGTTTATGAGAGTAGTTGGTGTCTAGGTGGCGTTTTTAAACCTGGTGTGTATAAACGTTTAGAACACACTTTGGGAGGTGAGGGTGAGGGTTACGAAAGGCTGTGGAGGCTGAATGAGGCCTCAGGAGAAACGTAAAATTGGTAAAACCTTTTTTACCTTATACCATGAAACTGGAACATGGAAATCACTTCTTGACGATTTCCTTGAAGAAGAGTAGATGAACCTAAACAAAATGTATTCTAAAAATGAAGACCCAGAAATAGTATATTTAAGAAACAGATTGGTCTGAAATGAGCCTAGGAAACTGGGGGATGTGCTGGGAATTAGTTCATAATTAAATGTAACGGTGGGTCGGGAAATGGTGCCACACGGCCTTTGATATATGCAGGGGGTAAAAACAGAGTATACACTTTAAATATAAAAAGGACATAGTCATGTATAGTTTCATACTGGGGTATATAAATAACATTTAGGATGCGGGAGGGATACCTGTTTATCCCTCCCGCATTCGGCTAAACCAAAAAGAGAGGGATTTAACATATAAATCAACTGCAGTCTGTATGAGTAAATGAAAATGGCTGCATTAAAGCCATTCGTAAGCGTGTTCGGCTGTATGAACGCGTGAAACAGCCGAATGCAGGGTAAGTATGAGCAATCGGTATATTAATATGTATACAAATGAAAAAGAAAGGTGAGTATGAACTTCTGCGTTCGGCTGTTAGACACACAAACGCAGAAGTAAACGAATGGTGTAAGGAACAAAATGGGTAAGTAATAATAATGATAATAGGGAGCCTATCCCCGCGTTTTAAGGCCCGAACGTGGGAAATAGCTGAACGCCATTTCCCATGTTTTTGCTTACGTGTAGGTACCGGTCTTGTGACCGGAAGCCAGAAAACGAGTAATGAAGGTGGTTTAGGAGCCGATGAAGGAGCCCGGAGGTCAGTGACAGGAGCTGTAATGAGGGACTGGATACTTGAGGCAGGATTTGGCGGCAACCTCGACCGGAAGTGCAGGTAACTAAAGAGACAAACAGCTTGCAAGACAAAGGTAAGTAGGGGGGTAGGGTTTATATAGGATCATTACTCCTCCCACAAAGTCAGGCCAAATGGCCTTCCAACATATATAAAATCATAAGTGAGACACCTTGTGCTGGCTAGCTAAGGCCAAAGTGGCAAAAAATTATACTACCACAGAGTAACAGGTGAGGCCCTGCTAGTCGCCAAGCAGCTTGAGAGGCTCTAACTATGAGTTGGCCCAAGGGTTTTGAGGCCACCCCCCAATCAACTATTGTGGCAAAACTAGCCACTTAAGACTATTGCTATATTGCATGTGTGGATATCCTTGTTTTAGCTGTAAGAACCAAGTCTAATACTGTATGTGGCTTTCAGGCGAACGAGGGCATTCGTATGCTTGCAATATGGAAAACCAGCATTCCCTATGTAGTTTCACGAACAGTGAGTTTCAACACTGTTCGTGAAACGAATTAACTACCGAATGGTCGACCACACACAGGAGGTCTTGTGGCGCCCATTAACCGATTGAAACATTGTTGCAATCGGTAGTTAAAGGCTTTCCTGGGTGGCCGCCGTTCGGCTACCGACCATGCAGCGGTCGGCCATCTTGTATCCTTTGTTAGCCCAGCGGGGTTTTGCCGTCGAGCGCCTGGAACTAAAAACGGCTACTCGACGGCGCGAGCACCGCTGGACTTCCAGGCCGTTCGGGAGCCCCGGCCGTTCGGTAGTTTGTTCCCCTTATACTAATCGGTATTTTAAACATATGTTAGAAATAATGTGTATTTTGTGTGGCGTTTGGTAAGTTAGACTGGGAGCTGAGCGGCATTCTCACGAACTATGCGCTCAGCCTCCAGCTATCTACTGAAGTCCATTCGTGTAAATCAAGGGAATATTAGTAAAGTTATACATTTTAATGTAAAATGTAAGTTCTGCTGCACGGAGGGATAATCCCATTAACGGTATATTCCAGTGGGAGTATCCCTCTCATCCAGCAGTGCATGATGGGAAAAATGTATGTGTTGGTCAGTTCCCTATGTAGTCCCCTACTGTACCACCCCTGGAATGTCAGTAGTGAAACCCCTTGCATGGGGAATACCATAAATACGGTGACCTGAAAATAAAACCTCAGTTGACTCCCAGCCTATGTGTCATCTAGTTCTTGGGAAGGAAGGATTCTTATAACGCTACCGGGATTATTGGATGCTGTATTAATTTACCTGGATTATTTTATGCTGTTACCCAGCGGAGATACTGTGGATACTACCTCTCCACTACAACTATGCAAGGTGAATAACTATGCTTTAAAGTAGGAGGATGGGTGTTGGCCTCGCGGGACCACTAGCCTATGGCATAAAGGCCAGAAACAAACTATTTAGACAGATATAAAAAGCAAAAAAATATTTTTTCCTTGGTCCTAGATTAACAAAACGTTAAATCTATGACTAGGAAAAAATTGGTCAGAATGGGTGGTACCAGCTCCACCCAGTATGGGCATGAACCCTTTATTTGTAGAGATAGAAAACACACACAAGATGCTCGGATAGTTCCTCTTTAAAAGGGGGGAACTACCAAGCAAGCCGGTAAAGATATAAATTATAAGTACACATTGATATTATGCCTAATAAATCTTAGAATCTAGAGCCCAATAGACAGGAAAAAATGGGGGATAGGAACAGTTTACAGAGCAATGCTAAATATAATTGATACAGTACGTAAAAAGTATCTCTAAATCCACTGAAAAACATAAAAACTTTATTAACCTATTTAAGAGGAAGAGATACAGTAACAACTGTGTGTCAACAATAAAAATCTCTGATTCCTATGATGGCCTATAATATCTAATCTTGGTGCATGAACGAATCCATTGTTCGGAGTGCTATTACCAAGGAAGTTTGTAGGTAAAGGTCCCCTAAACAGCGCAATCCCTTCAAGTGTCTCTGTGAGATCAATCAGTAGGGAAATATAACACCCAATATGTACACCGTATGGAATCTTGAGGGATATTAGACCAAATGCTAATATAGAGAAGGAATAAGCAGGGATAGAAAATATCTAAAGAACGGAGAGGAACAACAAAATCAGGATATATAGTAAAATCCAAGTCTGATATAACGAGAAAACTATCTCCGTTCTATTACTATTTCCCTTACTTCTGCTAATAAACACCTTCGTGGGTGTTCTAAGCTAGGTCATTAAACTAAATACTGTTATCCTGTCAGATAGAATTGGACTCTAAAGAAAGTAATTGGAGAAATGTGATTAACAAAAAATAATAATCATAATCAAAATAGTGAAAAAAGGAGGAAGGATTCCCTTAGTGCATCGTAAGTGGTGTACTGTGATGTGCCGAGGTGCAGTGACTGGGAATCCCCCCAAAAGTGATCCAAGTGATTTTTTTCACTATTTTGATTATGATTATTATTTTTTGTTAATCACATTTCTCCAATAGAAACAAATGAATTTGTACATGAGTTTAATGCTAAAAGTGCTGGACACATGCAAAACTATACAAAGTGTTAAGGATAGAAATAGACGCAATCTGTGACAATGCTGAACAAATGTGACCGGAGCACGATGGTATGGGTCTAACTTACAGTTGAAATGAGCAGTTCCAAGACAAGTCTCCAAGTAAGCCGAAGGAGGCAGAGGGCCTGTAGCGTTTGGTGAGTGGTTAGGTAAGTAGAATTTAGCCGGAACAGGAGCCAGGAACCAGGACCATGAGAAAACAGGCAAGAGACAGCAAAATGGAAACTTGATCGGAAGTAGTCACACTCAACTCACCAGGCCAACAACAAGTGGAAGCCCTTATAAAGGGGACCCAAGCCCCTCCCACAACTACTGGCCCAGCCTTAAATATATTGTATAATTATATTATAAAAGATATTGTTATGACACATTGCCATGGCATTGCCAAAAACATATCACCTTCATTGAAGCCATGCATTTTTTTAAATATTTTTGGACACACACTAATACATGCACACACATATATACATCTTGATAAACACACACATATACACACACACATATTCCATATGATATTTGTGATACAACAATTATTTAATTAATTTCATTTGCAATTATGCAATTTGTGTGTACAGGATTGCAGGGCATGAATACATACTCTTCCAATCGGGTATACATGTGCGAAGAGGTTAAATAGAGCCTAAAATGAGGGACCAGTTGCAGGGAAAGGTATACAAATTAATTCATTCTATTTTATTGGACACACAACCTAAATAAACATCCTTTAGTCATTTAATTAGAGTTAATATTTTCACTTTTATATTCATACATCAATAAAATCAACAGAAATGTCTCATAATTCTGGGTATAATTTTGATTTGTAAAATATTATGTGTTTTTGACTAAAGATGGTTTGGCATATTTCTAATGTGTTTTCTCCACTGTAATTTCCAGCTTTGTCATTAATTACACCCATACATATAATGTAAAGACATCTGTATGCATATATAGTTAAAATTTCAAACCATTTCTTGAGCATTGCCCTTTATGTTCTTGCATGTTTTGCCAGTACTGAAGTAATAGACGTGGATGCAAATTGTGGGCAGTAATAAGGTTGTAATAGCCACAAGGGGAAAATGGAACTCGGTCCAAATTAAACAAATTATTTGTAGGTGGAAGCGTTATTTCTACCCCCTCTTTTTTTAGGCAAATTGCAACAAACACATCTTCTAAATGCAGGTAATTTATTTTAAAGGATGATCTCAAGATTTTGGGAGCCAAATCTCCTGAAAGCACATAGCCAGTTCCTGAGCAAAAGTTTGGATAACGGCTCTCTGGATAAACAGAATATGGAACATACCATTTGCTTTCTTTCGATCTATGAGGAACAGGATCTTTGAAAACAGTACCAGTGAAGAAATTTTGTTTCGGTGGTAGGTTTGGTTGAAGCATTTCAAGTAGATATTCAGTGTTCACAAACATGTCACTGTCAGTTTTCATGACATACTTTGATTGAGGACAATAGGTGGAGATCCATTCCATTCCCATAATAGTTTTTAAAGTCAAGTTGTTATATGCCTCCTTAAAGTCTTTTTGGATAATATCATGGTATATCTGACTTTCGCTTAAAATCAGCTTTGATTCTGCTTCCGTGTCAAAACCCAACATAAACAGATGCATAATGGTTATCCCATGTTTAGCCACATTTGCCTCATTTGCCCACGTTTTCCTGATAACCTGTCTTTGTTCCACTTCCTTTGCTATAGTTGCTATAAGGATTATTAAGAATGGATTTTGATCCTTACATTTATCAGGTTCATTGATGATATATTGATGTAAATTGATTTTTAAATATGTATTTGAATCCGAGGTTTGTGTTGGTGCAGAACCATTCAAAATCACTCTTTGAATCATTTGTGTCACTGTGTTCCTGTCCATGACTTCCAAATTTCTCTGAGAACCTTTGACAGGTGAAATAATTAGAATTTGATTCAAAGGGTAGTTTTTACTCAGATAGGTGTAATATACATATCCACTCAAAAAAATGAGGGTTACGACCACATAAATCAATAAGATAAAAAAATTCCTTCTGCAAAAAGATGATAGTCTGGTGCTGCATGCCATATTGGATGTATCTAAATTTACTAAACATAAAGCTGATGTGTTGAATTGAACTGTGCTGGTTTTTCATTTAGAATGTCCTCTACTCTGAAATGAAGAATAGAATTTATTGTTAATATTTGTGGAAATGGTTTTCACTAAATGAGGGCTTTATTTAAAGGAACACAATAACTTTAAAACTACTCTTCTTTACCACTTAAGGATGGCTGGCATACAATGCCATCCTTGAGGACCTGGCTCTAAACGCCGTCTGGCGACATAGTACATCCCCTCGTCCAGGGAAGTTACCTTCACGCTGGCGATCCCCTGCCAGCAATCACGATGGGGGACTTGTCTAGCATCATAGTCCCCCTGCTACGGATTCGGCCCTCCTGGGCCATGTGTTTGCGAGGTCCTTGCGAGGAACTCACAATCACATGGACGGAATAGCCGTCCACAGCATTGCCAGCAGGGGGAGTGCCTGGAATGACAGGTAGTCCCCCTACTGCTTGAAATAAAGTTCAATAAAGGATAAAAACAGTGTAAAATAAAATATTATATACGTAGATCATATAATATATGTATATATATATATATATATATATATATATATATATATACACACAAATACATACACATACACTGTCTAAATGTATTTTAATATTTATATATATATAATGTTATATGTATATTAATATAAAAATACACATAGAATGATATTAATTAAATATATAACTATAATTATGTGTGTATATGTGTGTGTATGTATATAATATAAAATAAATGTATAAATATATTAAAAATGAAAAATAAAAAATTGATAATATATATATATAAATATATATATAATTCCGTTTGAACTGTATTTTATATATATATATATATATATATATATATATATATTGATATCAAAATACACTTAGAACTAAATAATATATATATATGTATATACATAAATATATATGTATATATCACTATATCTATACACCTATCTATATATGTATATATATATATATATATATACACACATCTATCTATCTACCTATCTATATGTTTTTGTGGTCAAGGACAATAAGCCGAGTTATGTTAGTGGTGTACAAGTCAGTTGTGGTGCGCCGAAACCGATATTCGGGTAGGCCTGTAAAAAGAGGGCCCACCAATTTAAATGGCTTGATAAAGGGAGTGGTGGGTGGGGTGAACCAGACATTCTCAGCCCAGAGGGAGGGGTGATCTGTGTATTTATAGCAATATCCCCTCCCACAACTACAGGCTCTGCCCATAGGCTCCACCTTTTATGGTCTGGGACAATAAGTCGAGTTATGTTAGTGGTGCACAAGTCAGTTGTGGTGTGCCAAAACCGACATTTAGGTAGGCCTGTAAAAAGAGGGCAAAAAGTTAATAGTCTAACACCTTCATACGTGTCTACATTACACCATCAATACATTTTATCAGCATTTATAACCATACCTGAAAGAGAAAATTGGTTAGTGGGAGATACTGTATAACACAAAGATACTGACTGACCTATGTTATGCCATGTGGTGAAACAATTAAGCTAAATTGGTGACTTGGGAACCTAACTAGTTGCCAAGTGGCGATGAGAAGCTCTACCGATGATTTGGCCCATTGGGTATGTTTGCCACAAAGCGTTGTGGCGGGGTGTTGGCCTCTGGGTGTAGATTAAAGAGATTCAAAATAAGTTGGCTGTGACAGGTGAGGCCCTAACTGCTTTGCCAAGAGGGCAGAGATGCGAGGCAGTAACTATGATTTGGCCCGAGGGGCGAATACCTCCGTAGTTGAGAATGGGAGTTGGCTTTGCAGGACAGCTATATAATGACACAAGAAGCCGAAAACTACTTATGGTCACTTAGAATACCCCAACAGCCAGTCCAGGCTAAAGATAAGGTTTGTAGAGCGAGTGGTTCTTGTAAGAATGGAGGTAGTATCGTAAAGCGAATCACTTACGTGGTGACTTAAAAACATAAATGCAAAAGACTAAATGTGACATGATAAGATAAACACCTGGCAAATAAATGAAAGCTATGCTAGAAATTGATGGTAAGAATAGGTGAATGGAAAGTGGAGGACAAAAGAAAAAGGTTTACCGAGATCCAAAACCAAAATCCAACCAGAGAGAGAGAGACCCAAGAACTTAGTGTTCATAATTCAGAACTACGACACCAACACCAATGAAAATGCAACAGTTTGCCGGTAAAGTAGGTAAAGTAAGTGCAAGAAGCCCAGAACCCAAAATACTCTATTAATATCTGTTACCAAACTAACAAAGGAAATTGAACAGTGTGATAAATGACTCAGTTGACTATACCCCCAGATATGCAATGGTCGGCATAAAGCATACCTGGTGAGATTTTACTTAATGATATAGGTCATAAAAGAGTTGGCCAGAATAATTGAACAACAAGACCCCTGTGAACTATATGTCTGGAGGTAAGGATGCGGTTCCCAAATTGTCAAGTTGAGGATAACCAGCCGCAAGTTTCATAGTGACAGAAAGGCATATTATAAAACATAACAGTGCAGACAAGTGGAGTAACTGAAAATTAACAGTTTTCATCAAAAGCCCCGACCCGATACCTGTTTGTACCGAATTTAGGCATGAGTTCCCTCTGCACATCCTTCCACTAGAAGGACCTGAAGTGTGTATGTGAAAGAACATACTAAAAAAACCCAACCATCACATTAATCAAATCCCATAGCATACTGCAGGAAGTGAAATACCAGAAGTAACAAGTGCTTTAAGGTGGAGGTACTAAACAGTTAAAATAGTGACAGACATAAGAAGCCTGGATATGTTAAATGAATAGTGATAGGTACCAGGTTCTCGGGTGTGTGTCCCGAAGGAAGGAAAAGACTTGAGCCTAACGAGACCATGTGTAATATTGGAATGTAGTATGAAAGGTTGTATTTCTTTGACCCTAGTATATTAGAAAATTGACATATGTAATTGCCAAAATGAGGGGCCGAAATTGACGTACGTATTGACGTTAGTGTGAGTGTTAGTGTGAGTGTTAGTGTGTGTGTCTGCTAGTGAGTGTTAGTGTGAGTGTTAGAGTGAGTGTTAGTGTGTGTGAGTGTTAGAGTGCGTGTTAATGTGAGTGTTAGTGTGTGTGAGTGTTAGAGTGAGTGTTAGTGTGTGTGTCTGCTAGTGAGTGTCAGTGTGTGTCTTACTGAGTGTGTGTGCGTTAGTGAGTCTGTTTGATGTCTGTTAGTGAGTGTGTGTTTATCAATGAGAGTGTATGTTTTCTAAGTGAGTGTGTATGTATGTCTGTCGCTGACTGTGTCTCTGTCAGTAAATGTGTGTGTCTGTTAGCTAGTGTGTATGCATCTGTAAGTGTGTGTGTGTGTGTCTTCAGCACTTACCTTTCTCCAGCGCCGGACTCCCTTGGCGCTGAGGACCCCTTAGCCTCTCAGCTCCGAATGCGACCGTGCACGCATTCAAACCGCCCATAGGAAAGCATTACTCAAGGCTTTCCTATGGACGTTCAGTGTGCTCCTCTAGTGGCTGTCAGTGAGACAGCACTAGAGGCTGGATTAACCCTCACTGAAACATAGCAGTTTCTCTGAAACTGCTATGTTTTCAGCTGCAGGGTTAAAACTAGAGGGACCTGACACCCAGACAACTTCATTGAGCTGATGTGATCTGGGTGTCTGTAGTGGTCCTTTAAAGGACCACTATAGTTCCAGGAAAACATACTCGTTTTCCTGGCACTATAGTGCCCTGAGGGTGCCCCCACCCTCAGGGACCCCCTCCCGCCCGGCTCTGGAAGGGGGAAAGGGGGAAAAACTTACCTTTTTCCAGCGCTGGGCGGAGAGCTCTCCTCCTCCTCTCCGCCTCCGTTACGCCCCGCCGGCTGAATGCGCACGCGCGGCAAGAGCTGCGCGCGCATTCAGCCGGTCACATAGGAAAGCATTCATAATGCTTTCCTATGGACGCTGGCGTGCTCTCACTGTGAAAAATCACAGTGAGAAGCACGCAAGCGCCTCTAGCGGCTGTCAATGAGACAGCCGCTAGAGGAAATAGGGGAAGGCTTAACCCATTCATAAACATAGCAGTTTCTCTGAAACTGCTATGTTTATGAAAAAATGGGTTAACCCTAGCTGGACCTGGCACCCAGACCACTTCATTAAGGTGATGTGATCTGGGTGTCTGTAGTGGTCCTGTGTGTGCATCTGCATGCACTGGCGTACATACCGCAGTCGCAGGGGTCGCAGCCCTGTAACCCCTGTGACCAGGTGCCCACCGCCATGTGTTGCGGCCAGGCCCGCACGCGGAGGGGGGGGGGGGCACGGATCAATTTTCGCACCGGGGCCCCATGGGTCATGTGTACGCCACTGGGTGTAATGAAATGTTGTAAGAAAGAGTGGTGTATACATATAACATGCATGCAGCAAGTGGAGGCCTTGGACCTGAAACAAGACGAAGGTAGCATTTACTCACAACCTTGCTATCTGTAAGTAGTTTCAATATAAGATCTATGAAGGATATAATAACTTGTCTAAATAGATATAGGTGAACCGAAGTGCTTAATATGAGGTCAAGATAGTGTACATAATGGAGGGATTACAACTACCCCATGAGAATGGCCAAATGAGGGTCTAAACGATAGATATGTTGCCGATAACAAGTAGAATAATGGGGTAGTATGTAAACCCTGTAAGATCGATGTAATGCAAATGTAATGCAAATTCAAAAGGTTTTGAATTAGGACATGACATGTAGCCCACTGTGGGGCATACGACCGCATGTTGTAAAGGCCTAGTGAAGGCAATGAGTAAGAAATTGCGTAGAATACCAGAAGGTGTCCCAATTTGTGTCCTGAGTTACAGGAGGATTGTGCCG